GTCCCTCAGAGCTCCTGGTGTTCACAGTACTGTGCCTCCCACCAGCTACCTCACACACACGGTAAGGAAATGCAGCACATTGAATAAGGAAGGAGTCAGGGAGTGGAATGATCAATGGCTGGCTCCTCTTAGGTAGTGACACATGCTGACTGCCTGTCACATGGACATTCAAAAAAGAAAAGGAAGGGTCTGAATTTCATGTTCACTTCTAGGAATAATTAGGCTAGGTCTGTCGTAAAGCCTTACAGAACCCCTGTGTTCTGTAGTGTAAGGATCTCCTCCAGGGGGTTTCCAGTCAGAGCTACAGTATCTGGGCAGCAGGGAGGACCTACAGTATAAGAGAGTTTCTCAGTTCAGAATGGTTCTCAGCTGTCACTGATAATAGAAACCACTGACTTTTATCTGGATCCTTCTTCTCTTTCACTGCCAGGGCGTACATGTGCAGCTTCAATGGCGTTGTTCTAACAAACAAAAGCTGATGGCCATGGCGTTTTGGTGAGATATGGGTGTCGAGTGAGACAGAAATGAAGAGCGTAAGCCTTTCATCAGGCTGAGGTTTTGTGCTCTGTGTGTCTTAGATCAAAGGCCTGTAACAGCTGATACCAAGACAAATATTCTGTCCAGTTTGCTGGAGGTTTCAGACTTGGCTGCTTTAGTAGGAGCAAAAGAAGTAGGATGGTATTTGTGAGGCTGTGGAAGGTTCTAATTCAGACTTCTGCATACAGCTTCGGTGAAATGAACACTTTGTACGAGAAGAATTATTATTCCATTCCATTATTATTACTTTTGATTAATGTAAATAGAGATAAAGCTTTTGATAAAACTCTCTGAAGCTAGGTTTATTTTAATCCAAAATCTCAAAAGGCAATGCTTTTTGTGTTTTTACGTGTTGCAGAGTGATTTAATTTAATCGCTACCTTTTAACGTATTCACAACAGAACTTTAACATTATAAATACGATAGTCAATGCGCCAAGCAAAGCTTTGCCTTCACAATCACTGAATCGTTGTCTTGTGAGTGTAGACAATCATTTCCCTATAATAGGGAAATATAATCAATTATTTTACTTTGGAATCTAATTTTAATTTACTGTAGTTCTTACCTCGGACATACATTATTTTTAAGGTTAAATATTGCCTCTTCCACAGACAGAGGTTAGAGGTTCTATCACTTTTCCAACTTGGTCATGAAAGTTGCACAGGTGTTTCGACTGATCACTCTGCCAGCTCCCACATTCTGGAAGGAGAATTCAGCCCAGATGCAGACGGGACTCCGGATGGAAACGGGGGGACATGCCGCCCCGGGACGTTGGAGGGAGTCTGTCTCCACAGGCCCGAAGATTCCCGGACAGAATGGGGAATCGCTACCCTGGCAAGGCAGGCAGCCGGCCGATGCTGAATGTATTTACTGCGCTGTGTGTGTCATAGTTTTATCACAACAAACTGATCTTGTGTCGGTTCTGACTTTTCATGGTTACGTCATGACAGCAGCCACTAAATAAAAAATATTTTCTTATCCTATAATAATGCCAGGGCATGTATCACTAAGACATTTCAGTTAATTAAAAAGGTAATTCGGTCACCCTGTTTGCACCTGATTTGTATCAGTGATAATTGAGCCCAGGTAAGAGCAGAAACAGCCTGTTTCTTTAAACAAGGCTGAATCCTGGAGAGAAGGAACCAAATGAGACAGGTCAGTTCTTTCTGTCTTCCAATAAAGATTTTTTTTAAGAGTCCTGTTTTGGTAGAAAAGTATGTGTACTCTGAGGGAATCTTTTACTCCATGGACTTTGAATTTTGGATGTATACTGTATGTTTGAAATACTCACTGGGATACTGGACATTGAACACAAAGGAGGTCGTGTTTCAATTAACTTAATTGGAAAGCCTGTTTCAGAGGATCTGAGACTCCTTTGTGCCCAGGAAGAATAAGAATTACATTTTTATTCTCCTGTATTACTTTCGTTAATTGTTATTTTTCTTTTTTACAAGCATAAGAAGAGAAGAAACACTTGCTCTTCTGAATTTGTTTAGGGACTAATCATTTTCTGGTAAGTGTGAGAGTGAGAACAATTATTTTGTTAGAATCCAATATTGTCAAATAGTACATAAGTCTCTTGGTCACTTAATGAAACACCTGCTTATCTGTTTACCAGCTTCTACAGTCTAGAGAACATTTTTGGAAGGCCGACCTGGGCAATAGTTACTAGGGAGGGTTGTTACAGCATTGTCTTATTTTGAATACAAAGAGATATTAATGCTAACGAAGGTAACAGCTAAAAAAGTTAAATTATATGTTTGGTGACTGAAATGGCGATAATAAAGAACATCTCTCTAACACTGACAGAACTTGAGCACTCCTCTGGCAGGTGCCTGTCCTGCCCTCTGTGAGATGGGCCCATCCAACAGGGCAAGAAGGAGGTGTTGAGCAGGAGTGTCTGGGGCAGGGAGCCTGTTTTAATGTTGTATCACTAAAGTTCTTTTTAATATGAAATTAGCAATCTTATAACATGTTAATTATTAGTTATACAGGATAGAATTATACGAGATGGGGACTTATATACTGTACATCATGTATATTACCATGATTTCCTAATTTCCCGTTCTTTAGATATTCTGATTATTTTACTTGCCATCTTACCTTGTCTGATCATTACAAAGTTCTTTCTGAGTGAATGTTGCCTAGCCCCATTAAGTACCAGCATGTTACAATAAGACATGGTCTTATAGTTCATCAACTAGAAAAATGACCCGAGGAACAGCTTACTCTGTCTTACTTTCAGGCTCAGTTGAATAACGGTTTGATAATTACAGTGCCACTCTAAGTGTACTGCAGTTGGTAATTAGTAAAATGACTTCTGAAAGACTTGATGCATTGACTACCAATTGCAGTCTTAAACATCTCTGTTGCACATCAGAGGGTTCAAGGCAAAATACCAAAACACACTTAGCTTAAAAGCATAATTTTCAGAAATATGAAGTCATGAAGATTCAATGTACTACAGTATATGTATTCTAAACCCTGTTCCAACTGTTTAAGGCTATAGTTCTTAAAAATTAATAATTTACTTTGTCTATGTTTCAAGGTCATCTGGAAATATTTCCATCACTACTAGTGGTTATTGTTATCATGTCACTGCTTAAAAAGTGGGTTAGATCCTATGGTTCTAAATCTATAAATAAATATCTGTATATCCATACGGTTATCCATAAAAAGCAATTCACCTAAAAACATTTACCATAAAAAGCCTTATCTACACCTTTCAATCTGTGGTCTTGTCAAAACCAAGAAAGTCATTCCCTGCTTCAGGGTAGATTTCCCCCACACTGTTCATGCATTTAAATTGAGCATGATTGCAGCTTGATGTACTAGTTGGATCAGCAACACAGTGCATGGTGTAAGAACTCAACTTTATGTTATATTATGTTAATCATTATACTAGGGTATAATGATTCATAATCTAAGTCTAACAGCATTGTCTTCAGGAAGAAGAATGTTTTAATGTTAAATTTTGCTGTGTACTATATATTTTCAGAACAAACTAATCCATGAACCACTTACCTTTTGGTGTCTTGAAAAGAGACAGAAGTGCAGTGAATTGGTGGTATATGAAGTTTCTTAATACATTAACGACATTAGTAAGAAAGGGAGTACAGTAGAGTGACTTGTAATGGGCATCTCCTGTTTATTATTACATGTAATCGCACCGTTTAATACAATTGACCATTCTATTTTGATTAG